TGTAACCCTAAACTTTTCATACGAAACATTTTTCTCTATCCCTACTAGTTTTCGAGATATTTGACTGGATCACTTCAGATGGTCCACCCTGTATATTATAAAAGATACATTTCAACTTCTATTATAAATAAGTAGAAATCGTTGCTTATAAAATGTAGTTGTGGTATAATTATTATACATTAACATAACATTTTCTAACTTTACAAATTTGATGTTCAATAGTTACGATTTTTAGCTAATAATTGTGACGGTTTTTATTTGTATGTATGCATAATTATTGAAATGTAAATATAAGTCTTTTAAATCGAGAAAAGTTTTTATTTCCATATATACTTACCGTTTTATTAGTTGTGGACTCTTGAACTTGCCACCATTTGCTATGCGTCATTTACGCGAGATCTGTTTTCTGTAGCTGAACTAGTGCACGCCGGTGCTTGCACTGCTTACACTGACTCAAGACCTAAGGTCTGTTTTTTATTGCTGCACTCTGAACCAGTGCAATAAGTTAAAGTGAAACAAATGTATATTTGTGTAATAGCCGTATCACACTAGCGACTCGCGGCTGCGACTGCGATTGCGACTGCGACTGCGATTGGTTGTATTTCGATCACACTTTAGCGATTCGCGATTGCGACTACGACTGCGATTGGCTACATTTCAATCATGTTTTAAGTCACTTCGTTTGTAAATATCACTAGTGCAATCCCAAAGAAGGGGTTTGGATTCCACAAAGTCAATTAAGCGGTAATCTAGCTCTTTATTAAATTGTTTTGACATTGTGTATATTTACTACGTGTATCTGCTTCAGTTTCAAACCATTTACAAGCATCAAGTGACAATACAGACGCCATATAATTGGTTGCGACTGCGATTGCGATTCGGAAAAATGGACGGCCGTCCAAATAGTAGTCGCGAGTCGCCGTCGCTGGTCACTGCTTCCTGATTGGTCGAGGAAAAGTCGCAATCGCAGTCGCAGCCGCGAGTCGCTAGTGTGATACGGCTATAACGTCCGCCGAAATTTGCGCACAGGCGAACGTCACGTTTAACGACACCAGACGCGTTGCCACGGCAACACGAACTGTCACGACAGCCGCGAAACTCTCGCGAACCGTGATCACGCGCTTAGCGCGTGATCGAA